TTATAGGTACCTATCAATAACACTGAAGTTTGTTAATGTAATAACCAGTTCGGTAATTATTAATAACGTATGTAATGTTAACAAACGATTGATGATTACTATCAAAAGTAAGAATACATTTCAAAATGAAAATTAAATATTTCCAAATAGGTATCTATATACAATCAATGGTTACTTATTAACACATATTTAAGATTTATATATTTTCTTCAAAATGGTAAATATATAGCGTAGGTACTATTTTTTTGAAAATAAATCATCTACCAACTAAAAAAAAAAATTAAACTAGCCTAAGGACATTGAAAAAATCTCTGAAAGTTCCATTTTTTTATTATTATTTTTATATTATTACTTGTCAATTATAACTTTATATTTTGCTTCGGCTTAGGTTAGTTGGAGTGGACGCTTCATCGATGAAAGGTCTACCAAGGTGGTCCAATAATTGTGTCGAAAGTTTTCATAACGGATTTGTGGATATTTTTAGGTAAGCATCATATTATATTTTTTTTAATTAAATAATAATTGATTGTGTATATGTTACGATCAATGACCAAAACTGAACATTTACGTTATTCACCGGTCATTAACGTCAGTTTCCAAGATAATAGATTATTGTTGTAAATTACAAAACAAAATAAATCAATTTTACCTCAATGACCGAATATTAACGTTATTAACCATTAACTGTTAGTCAATTACGTAAATGACTGAAAATACACATTAATTTAATTAATTGCAGAGTAGGTACAGTTGTTATTAATATTTATATTATAATTTTTTTTATTATAAATAACATATTATATTTATTATTAATTATTTATTTTCACAAAGCATGCTGTTGTGACATTTTTAATTACACAATAATCCCACAAATCGACAAATGCATTTGTTTGTGATGCACTACAGTTTGCAATTACACCTTTTGTAACCTTGTGATCCAGTGACACTACTAAATCCTGCAGCTTCTCTCGGTGTAATTTCTTTTTCGGTATTTACAGATACCAAATCAACGAAACATTCTTTGCAGGGATCGATCTGCCATCGAGTATACAAATGTTTAAGAATGCCGTTCTCTATACCTAATAAAGATAAGCATTTATAAATTCAAATAAATGTATCTAATTAATATAATTATAATTTTAAAAGTAGGTACCTAATTTATATAAATCATCTTCAACCTGGGTAATACCTAACTGCTAATAGGTTTCGTAGTGATCCACGTGCTCGATCAACTTCAGACGTGCGTGAAGTTGGCACACCGACTTTATCGTATCGTCCCCAAACAATATCATATATTTGCAAATAATTTGCAACAATTTGCAACACCGGAAAAAAAATTTGCAACATAGTTTTCCAACCCCCCACAATGAAACATGTTTTACCATTATTATTTTTTATCAGCGCCAAAACATGTCTATTTTATAATATTTTCAGAAAATATTATACTACCTATGTACTCAGAAATTATTGTCACAATGATACATTTTTTCTAATAATTGATAGTTGGAATATATTTATATTTATACGTATGCGGGGACGTACACATTGTGTGTAGGTATGTTTGTTTGTGTGAGTGTATAACAATAATAATAATGAGTATCATAATCCCGTATAGTTTTATTTCTAAAATCTAAAATTAATACAAATTCTAAAAACAACAACCGATTGGCACTCTTATTAATTATCATTGTCCATTGATACCAGACTTCATACGCAGTTAACTTACGAGTTGCGACAGTTGTGTATGGTAAACTATTCAACTATTCTGCGTATTGTGTTGTGTACCCACGGCCGGGTTGGACAAATTCGGCCCACCGAGTATTCCGTACTTTACCAACCCACTTAAAAACTGGCGGCACTTGGGTACGCTCTTATTCCATGCATAGTTATTTTATTTTATAGTCTCCATTTCTTCAACTTTTAACTCTTAACATATTTTTAGTCAATGCGGCCCCTCATGACTTGAACGGCCCAAAATTGTCGCGGCCCGCTGAATTTTACATCGGTAACTCGCCGGGTCAATCTGGCCCTGTAGTGTACCTTATCCTACCTAAATTAAAATTTATTTTTTCGTGACGCGTGTTTACATTAATCTTTCAATTTGAGCAAAATATGACTTAAAAAAAAGTAAATGGGTGGTGCGGTTAAAAATATAAAATTACCGCAAACCGCTCAAGAATCGAAAACAATTTCTGGTATGTTTAATCAAAATACGAAACTTAAACCAGTAAGCACTAAGCAAGCAATAAAAAAAATAAATATTATAATTTAAAATAATATTAATTTGAAAATATATCGTATACATATAGAGTATAGGTGATAAGTGATGAATCAGGTAAAATTGATTTATAGATGATGCAGTTGATATATTTTCATAAAATAAAAAAAAGAAGATATCCTTTAATAAGCTATATTATGTTTGTAGACTTTTAAGTTTGAATTGATGTAGGTGTACAATTATTTTTTATAAAATATCTGCCACCTTCTATTTAAAAATTATATTACCTACCTAGTTAAAAAAATTGTTGCATAAAAAAATGTAGATAATATAACGAGCGAAGCGAGCGGTTTTTTTTTACCTATTCGGGCCGGTCAAAACCTTTGCCCCCCTCTATTGAAAACTGAAATGACGCCACTGCAACGATACTGAAATACTTAAAATATACGTTATGGGGAAAAAAATCCAATAAAATAAATTACCTACCTTTGATAATTTGTTAGATAACCAATCTGTTAGATAACATTACATACGAACGTAGTAACGTGTCTGGATATATAACTGACAGTGACCTGCATGTTATAAATATTTAAATGTATAATTTACAACAACGCCCAGAAGTAGTTGGGAATTGACGTGAATAATAAAATAATACCCGTGTTTACAACATTAACCATTATGTGTCTACATTTTCGTAAATGGCCGGTCAATTACGTAAATTTGTATTGTACAAGATCATTTTCGACATTGGTCGTAACATATACATACTATAAGATTATTCTTTAAAATTAATTTTAGATCACCTTAGTCACCTGAATAAAAAACACACAGGTAACTCTTACTCAACTGTCTAAAAATTATTCGATTTTAAGTTTAAGATATAAAGAACATGTTAAGATAGAAAAGGGGTCAGCGAGTGGTGATCCTGTGACTCGATTACCACCAGGGGTGGCTAAGGGGGCTATAGCCTCCCCCCATTGACCGTGTTGACCTTATCATTTTATCAAGATTAATATAGGACTGGTATTCCGAGCCTAGAAAAAATTATTTTATAAGCTATATATTTTTGTAGTAAGTTTTTATGTTTTGAGAATAGCATCATAGTAACATACGTTTGTTTTTGGTTTTTAAATAGGTAGTTGTTGATGGGTTTTCATAAATTGTGTACATTTTATAATCAGTTATTGAAGGTTATATTATTTGCGTTAACCGTGGAAGTTGTCTGATTGGTCTAGCTGTTAAAGTGTATGGAGTCTGTGTCTTTAATGACAGGGACTTCAGTATTCTCGATGGCTGTGGTGGAGTCAGTGATTGATGTGGTGGAGTAGAGATGGCAGTAATTAAAGCTGAGGTTGTTGGTGGCTCAGTGGCCATGTCGACAGAAGCTGGTATTTCACTAGCGGTAATTGCTTCATCATTAGTTGTAAAAATCCATACGTATATTTTGACGTAAGTTTGACCAACCAATATCAACATATCATCAACGTAGAATAAACGTTATTTTATCACGAAAAATGTACGAATATGTATATATTATATATATATCGTCGACAGACGACAGTGCCGGTGCTAGGAATTTTACCGTCCTGGGCCAATTTATAAAAATTCCACCCTATTACCTAAATTTTTTTCGTGCAAAAAAAAATAAATAATAATTCACATAAATTGAATAATAATATAAAAGTTATATGAATACTTAAATAGATGTAATTGTTTTAACATTTTTGGATGATGTCAATAGAAAGATAACTGAAATAGTTAACATAAGTGGAACCTAACCAATCCATAGAATTGTATGTCTGACTCAAATATAATATACGATACCTACCTATTATAATTATTACCAATTATTGAGTAAACCAGTTATTTTAACTGGACCGAAAAAATATTAAAAATTGAAAACAAAATTTATCCATAGTCCATTTATTTTATTTCAAATTAAACTTAAGTTTTACATAATTTTATATGAATTCTATTAATGAAACACTTTTCTTGCCTTCACGATTCGTCACCGTAAAATATATCTATATATATCTATATGATGACGAAAAGTGTGAGAATATGAATATACGTATTGTCAACGTAAAATCTATCTTTCGCAATGTATATTATACCATTATTATACGAATAATGACTACGTATATATGTTACCGGAAAAGATGACATTCAGTCAGTGTCGACATAGTCAATAACGAAAATACCTGATTTAGTAAATAATGAACGTCAATTGTTCTTTGTGAAGTCACATACTTATATTATAAATAACTATTGATACCAATTAATAACTTCCAGCAAACTATAGGTACTTATTGTATTCACATAATATACCACTGTAGCGCGTCGTAATATAGATATCGCAATATAATATTTTTTTTCTTTAAATCTATTTGATGGCACTTTTGAGAACAAAAACTGACATCTCATAGATTTCATCATCATCCTAATGCACGTAGGGTAAGTCAATAAAATTCATTAAATATTTAAACGTCGTTCGAATGTCCAATTTTCAAATAACTATAGTGACGTTCACCCGTTAAATATGAACTTAAATCCGAACACTGTATTCAAATATAATTACCTTACATATAATGACGAATATAAAATTCAGATTAACCTGTGTAACTTAACGAACTTTTATGTTTAGTGTTGCTAAAGTTATCTGTAGGTACTTACTAATTAATACTTCATTTTTCGTATAATATTTATTGGGTAATTAACAATATAAATTATTACATAAATCATTTGTTATAATATAACTGCATTTGATAACCTATAAATCAAGTTTAGAATATTTTCTGGTTAGTTTACGTATATAAATATAAAATAAATGTATAATATTAGGTATATTATTATAAGGTTTCTTAAATTTTCATGTTTGAAATATAACTTTTTCAACCAATAAAATATTTTCATGAATTGGCCTATACGATTTAATACTAAAAGTTGTTTCTATTAATTATCGTATTAAGTAATAAGTAATTAAAAAAATATACAAATTTATAATATAATTTACATAATATATATAACAAATTAGTGCAGTGCAGAATTTGTGACAAGCAATATTATACACTCACCTTTGAACGATGGTTATTAATTATCTAATTTATTTTCTTGAAATATATCATGAAATATAAAAATAAAATTTGTATTAGGTAGGTAGGTATATCTAAAAGTTTATAATCGTCAACTTCCAAATGCAAATGTTTAAAAGTTGGTTTATTGTATGAAACAAAGAAAATATGTATAACATATATAATTTATAAGTTGTTTAACAAATCTATTATGTAACAAATTTAAACATTGCCTTACAACCTCATAAACCAACTCAACATCATAACGTCATGTTGAGAGCCGTGTATCTGCATTATAGGTAGGTTCTATATTATAATTATATTATAATATTATATTCGCAATGTATAGATATAAACCACTCTTAATAGTCGTGAGATGTGACCTTTTGGCTTTTACAATATACAAAATATGATCTAAGTATTAAATAAAATAGTCCAGAGCACCTTCACATCACTCAGTCATATACACACATATACGACTTTTGTACACTTCATAATTACTGAAAATACACTATTATTTCATTCACTGTTGAAATTGACTTCAACTTTATTTCAAACCATTAACTTATGGATGGCTGACATTCTGAATACAACAATATTATAACATCAATATATTTAATATTGTAGGTATCCCAAATAATGTATTCATTATTTGTATACAGAGTTGATGTGTATGCAACGTAACAGGCCACAATATCCACATGGTCCAGTTCAAGATGGCTGATAATGCGTCGTTTAAAATAAATTCAAAAATCAACACTCATTCACAAATCAAGATGACGTCTTACTCGTGCACTCACTTCATTCACTCACATTCTACTATGGTTATGATAGTTAAATCCTAAACTCATCTATATTCATGAGGATATTTCAGGGAATTTCATTAATATCCTGATACTGTGATATTGTAGCAATTCTACTACAAGGACATACGTTTTTATGTACATACCCCAAAAACTCTAAGTGTAAATAGCCACAGCGTTGACACATGTGTTTTCATCCGATGGATGCAATTATAGCTATGGGATAAAAGTATGTGTGCCAACGCTGTTGCATTTAGAATGTTTGAAGTGTGTATGTAAAAACGACTGACCTTATAGTTACATACATCAATTTTTATTTATATTTATAGATAAAAACGTATTCATCACATTATTAATTACTAATAATATAGAGTAAATTATAATATAATTTTATAATTATAAAGACATTATAATTAGTGTTTGAAAATTTCATGAAATTTAAAAAAATTAAATATTTCAAAATATGTGAAATATTTCAGTATTTTAATATATTTTGTTTTATTTTTAAATAAGTTTTATATTTACATATAATTGTCATAAATTACTTTCATCACTATATGGTACCTGTATGTATACCTAACCTTTGGTATTATACATTTAAATTGGTATTCAAAATTTTTAAATATTTTAATGTTTAAATGATACAAGTAGGTATACAATATTATACATGTATATTGTATACTTACTGAATTCTGACATTAGAATTTAGAACACTGAACATTGTGTTAAAAAAATAAATAAATTGTGTTTTTATTTGTGTTAAAAAATTTCAATGTTTCACGTTTTTGTGAAATATTTCACAACTTAGTGAAATATTTCAAAATGAAATATTTCTCATACTTCAAACACTAATTATAATAGCAAAGTTGCAACAAATTATATTCATAATACTTAATGTGGTTATTATTACGATCATCTTAGACTGTTGCTATATATAATATGTATTAATTTATATATATCATAGAGATGTACATTTATGATAAATATATTGTATAAAGTATATTATATTAGTACCTATTATAATTTATATTATTCTACATTTTTACAGTTTATTCATTACCCGCCCATTACACTGCTGTACCATTATTTAGTATTCACTACTTAGTACTTGTTTGTTTCATAATTTACTCTGGATACTATATGTAAATAAATTAAATATATATATCTATATTATATATAATATGATTGTATTACTTTAGGAAGAGATATTAATTTCATCATGAACAATATATATTTGCTTATAAGTAGTAAATAATATACCTTGTAGTTAATTCTTTATTTTTTATATTAATGTTTGAGTTATTTATTTTAAAATGTATAAATTGTACACAATACAGCAACTACTTCTTACAATCTAATTTAAATTTAAATGATCCTCAAGTCTGAAATGTGAATAGTTCTATAAAATGTTTCAGGCTTTAAATTGCATGCATAATATTATACTATATAAAATGTTAATCACTTATTTTAATACTTGATGCAATTTTTTTTTAAACTTATTAATCAACTAACAATATATAAAATTATAAAAAAAAATTCCAAATATTTACTATATACTATAAAAAAAGTATGAAAAGGCTCACAATTAAACACAATTAAATGTCCAGTATGAAATATGAATGATAATAATAATAATTTTTAATAACAATTTATTACGATAATCAGAATATGAAAGGATAACAATTCTATTAGTGTATATTTTTTAATAGGGCTACGGTTTTTTGATAATCAATTTATTTTTACTCTTGAGAGAGACATACAGTAAAATGGCCCTTATTCATGGGCAGTTAAACAAGGTTGATAAGTTTCAACATTTTCATTAATTTTTTTTTTAAACGGTTAAATCGACTGTTAAAATGTACCTGAATAATAATATAGTAATTTAATATTAAACACACTTACACTATAGAAAAAGTCTTTGATGGAGTTGGTAGTTTTTGATACTATTAAGTACTCGCATTTACAATCATTATAAGTTAATCAAAATAATTGAATCCGATCACCAATATGGTTCTTGTCCAATATGGTTCCTAAAATAAACATTTTTTATTAGCCCTTCCAACTGTAACACCATGTTTTGTAATTTGTTTACTATGTTTTAAATAGTGAATTTAAAGCACATTTGCAGTGCAAAATAGCGGATGAATGTAATTTGTGGTTGCCGAAAAATCATATGGCTTGTTGTCAATTATATACCTAATCAATGGTTTCAATTTAGAATTGTTTCCCTTAGAGTTTTCCTAATGATATTGTGGACCGGGTAAATGATTAAAAAAAATTATATTTAAGTTCATATATTATAGTATAGTATAGTATATTATAGTACAATTAAGAGATTAATGTCATATTATTTTCTAAGAAGAGCAACAATTTACAAACTATAGGTTATTGAGTTTGCCTTACTTAATGTTTGTTACCAGCAACCATAAGGAAAGGTAGATAGAACACGTAGCAGCAGTCCATGACTTTATATGTCAATGTTTAAAATAAAACTTTCATTTGTATTTGATCTCTATATCATTTATTATAGTTGGAAAATTGATTGAAAGCATGCATTTCAAATGCTTTTATCTCAAATTGTTCACAGTATTAAAATTTCCAA